CCCAGTACATATGGATGGCAAAATGTATTTGGCGCGAAGCGCGAAGCGTTGGTACTCCAAGTTGGCTGCTGTCCTTTTGGTCTCCCTAAAGCATCCCAGAGAACTGCATAAGCCATTTTGAGCAGTATCAACTTGATGCGCAAAAAACCAAACAAAAAACGTTTCCACCGAGCTCCTGTCATAGCCACATATTCAGAAGCCACCATGACAAGCCGTCCCGTTTCCTTCCACCCCGGTCTTTCTAACCACGGCACGAGTGCCAGTTGGGGCAGCTCTCCGTGTCGAGGCGCCGGGATCCGTGTGGGCACGCCTGCGGAATCGGAGATGGATGCCCCGGGGTTCAGTTGCCACTGAAGCCAAAGGGGGCCGATATAACCTCGGTTGCTTTCTGCTCCCCTGCTAAAAAGTTTAACTTTTAGTGGTTTAATGGAAAACCCATGAGTTGGCAAAAAGTTAAAGTCCTAACATCCAAGCAAAATGCACCAAAGTAACCACCAGTATGTACCTCGCATGCCCGGCGGCCACGGGAAAAAATGGTATCCTTTTTGGTTGGTTGAGTTTAAAGGGGGGCCCTTGCCAAAAAACAGGAAAAAAGGGCGCCACTGGGCAAGGGTACCGTTCAGGAGCTTCATCCAAATTGGGTCAGGTGCCATTCTTTTAACGGGGGTGAACACCAGGTGGTTTGCCTTCCTTACCGGGCCAGTAAGAAACACACAAACAAAAACACCCAAGATGGCCTACCCAGGTTCCAATGAAGTTCCAGCTAGTCAGCCGAAACCAACCAGAAAGAATCAAGAACCATAATTATGTCACCTTAGATGGCTTTAGATGAACAAAACGTGGTCGGGCGCATGCCACCAAGCTCATAATTTCCTTCTGGAAAGTTTTGCAGAAGTATGGCCTGTTTAGCAGCTAGTTCAGTTCCCTTACAAAGTCAAGCAAGGTGCTTTGTTCGTTCTGGGCGGACTTGCTGGGGCGCCTGCTTTCAAGAAAAAAAAACACAGGATCACCACCGGAGACCTTGTTACGGACGGACTCAGGGACTCACCTTGGAAAACTTTTTTGGACAATGCCTTGGCTCTTGTCTCGCAAAGAACACCAAGCACTCTCCTGTTTAACATTTACAAGGACCCCTCAAAGCCATCATGTCTAAAGAAGTCTCCTCATGTAGGACAGCTTTTTAGGAGTTCCATGTTGATTTGGGAAGCAAGTGGCTTCGGTTGCCGCTAACTGTGCAAAAGACATACGCCAGGTCTTTCCCGCAATCCCCATCGAAAGCAATCTCCATTGAGAAGGCTGGTTTCCCTCTTGCCAAAGCAGTCCGAGGGTTGCCAAAGTGCCATTTGACCAGGTCAATTCATGGTCAAAACTGCGGAACCCTTGAGGACCACTGTCAAACCAACTCCATTCAATCGCGGCAGGAGAGCTCTGCTTTATCGAAGGCCAAATGTGAAAGACATTGGAGTCAAACCCCCGCAAGTGACAAAAAACCGCTGCAGTTGCGTTGATGCTTGGCAGTTGCTCGATCTGTGGCTCAGAACATCTGAAGGGATTAGCCACAACTTGTCGTCGGGCTTGCATAAAGACTGTTCAGAATGGTGATGTTAAAGAGCAAGGGAGCCTCGGACGCAACGTGCCGGCCTTTTTCACCTCACCGCCCGATACACCAAAAATCGGGCCTTGCCCTAAGCCCACAGAAGCAGGTAATTACCTGGTGCAAAACATGGCATTTCCGAAAGCTAAATCTGCCCCACACATAGAATCCTAGAACCCTGCCAACATTTTCTAGCGCTCCCATGAAACGTGGGAACCCAACTACCCTTCACCTACGAAAATCCGTCTGGGCGGCCCGGCGCCCTGCCAACCGAACATTGATATGGCCGGCGCCGTGCAGATCTCCGTGCCGCTCCTGGCCGGTTCCCTGGTGCAAATGGATGTGCGATATGATGCGGATATGTGCTTCGTGTATGAGTGATTGTGTTCAGTCATCGCATCTCTTGTCGCCAACAGTCTCACCAGCACCATCACCTTCATCATCATGATCATGATCATGGTGGAGGGAGCGTGTTGCAAAGCTGTATGCACATGCCTTGAGTCAGGAAAGAATTTCAGGGAGCCTCCCTGCTCCCTGAAAACCGTCCGCTCCTAGACCCCTTTGGATTGGGAATCGGCATGGAAAGTTTCCAGCATGGCTCATATTGCCCTGGCGCCCGCCGAGTTGCAGACACATCTAAACACGTGTCCCTCGATCTGTATTTGATCCATGCACTCACATTGGTGCATGCAATGCCGCACTGCCAGGACATATACGTCACACTGTACTGCTCCTGGGCCCTGGGAGTGCATGAAAAGCCAAATTCCAGCAAGGGTGCCAGCGTCTTCCTTGACAGGAACCAAAGCGATTGGAAGGTATGGAATTGTGGCATTGTGGAATTAGACGTATTTGTATTGACTCAGTCTTTGCCGGCGAGTCCTTAGCAGAGAATCACAAGAGACAGCTTGACAATTCATACAACACGATTGCAATCAATTCCAAGAGCTATCCGTGGAACGTGTCTCGGATTTGAGATATGTTCTGTAACTACGATTGCTGAATGTCGGACACTGGAAACTTGCTTGAGATCATTGGAAAGTCGACATTGAAATCGAAGCGTTTTATTTGCTCTGGACGTGAGCCATCAGGATAGAATTTTGGGGAACAAACTAGTACCCAAAACGCATACCACGTGATACCACGTGACTTGGACCCAAACCTTCCCGCCTGTTGGTGAAGCAGGGCTTCTCGCGGTCGCACATCAGGCAGGGATCATCCCGAAGAGACGTTGTGCGCACCTCGTCCGAAGAGCCCGGCTGTAGCTCCAGTCCTGCAAAATGATGACGCACAAAGACCCAAACGCAACCCGCGAAACGACCCAAGTGGATCCAACAAAGAATCCGCAAAAAATGGCCGGAAACATGATCTAGCCCAAAAGGGGCCCGAAAAGAACCCCAAATTGAAGCACAAACTGACCCAAAGAAGATCCCAAGCCAATCTGAAAACAGGGTTCACATGCGGTCGTCCACTGTGATGATTGAAACTACTCAAAAAGGCCAACTTAGTTAATTCATTTAAGAACGAACACAAACCCACTCAAAGCACAAAGAAACACCTCCAACGGCATCAAACAACATAGACACCAGGCAAAATCAACCTTTGATCGATTCAGCCTGGCACCGTTGGGCTGCTGAGTTGTCCATGTTTCCTTGCGTTTGTGAACAAGGCGGCCAAACAACTTGTCTAGCTTGCTAACTCATCAACGGGTTGACCAAACTCTTCCTGGCATAGGAGACAATGATGCTGGCTCAAAGGGGCTGCTGCCAGACGAACAATGTCGAAATATATATATATATATATGTAAACCTGTATTTATGTGTGCATGTGAAGAGACTGCCACCCACGCGCACGGATGACTGACATGACTCAGCGCAAGGACTGGAACCCGCACAAACACTTAACAGACATGACTCAATGGAAAGACTGGCACCTGCACGCACGAATGACCGACTTGACTCAACCAGGGACTGGAACCAACACAAACACTTGATGGACATGACATGACTCAATGGAAAGGCTGGCACCCACACGCACGAATCACCCACATGACTCAATCCAAGCCACACAGACACTTGACGGACGGACGTGACTCCACCCACACACACGAATGACCGACACTTGACAGACATGAATCAGTGGAAAAACTGGCACCCACACGCACGAATGACCGGCATGACTCAATCCAAGGATTGGAACCCAAACAAGCACTTGACGGACATGACTCAATGCAAAGACCGGTGCCCACCTGCACGCATGACCCACATGACAGAGACGCAAGGACTGGCACCAACACAAACACTTGACGGATATGACTCCATGCAAAGACTGGCACCCGCACGCATGACCGACCCACATGACTCGACGCGAAACGCAAGGACTTGCGCCCGCACAAACACTTGACGGGCTTGACTCAACGGAAAGACTGGCACCTGCACGCACGAATGACCGACTTGACTCAACCAGGGACTGGAACCAACACAAACACTTGATGGACATGACATGACTCACTGGAAAGACTGGCACCCACACGCACGAAAGACCCACAGGACTCAATGCAAAGGACTGGCACCCACACAGACACTTGATGGACATGACTCAATACAAAGACTGCCGCCCACACGCAGGAGTGAGCCACATGATTCAACGCAAAGACTGGCACCCACACAAACGCTTGAGGGACATGACTCAATGGCAAGACTGGCGCCCACACGCACGATGACCCACGTGGACTGGCACCCACACAAACACTTGACGGACATGACTCAATGGAAAGACTGGCGCCCGCACGCGCGAATGACCCGTACGAGTCAACGCAAGCAGGTTTCCGATGCAGCTTCCCCCCTTCACCCCTGGGCATCGAGGTGGGACATGGGGAACGTCTTTCCCCCAGCTAGCTAGCTCAAACATGTTGTGGTTGAGGCACCCCTCTGCAAACGGCGTTGAACAGGCCAATGCGAGCTTTGGCTGGCAACACGCTTCCCTGTAGTATCGCCCACTTGGACTGCAACACAACGCGCTTGCAAGGTCGAGGGAGAGCTCCTGCAGTTTTGAAGATTCGGCAGGGTGCATTTGCAAGATGCGCGCAAATGGCAATGCCAGCGCAAAACTTGCATTCTGTTTACCACCGAGCCTGTTATAGTAATGCCGCAGCTTACATCTGCCTGCCTGAGCATTCGTGCCTGCATGCTCAGCGCTGCAAGAGGATGCCTTGCACCGTCGGCTGAGGATCAGGGAACAAGCCCGCCCTCCAACACGGACGGGTAGAAGCCCAAAGGTTGTCCATCAATGCGGCCCACCGTAACTTTGGGGGAGAAGGTCCGGAGAGCCGTAACAGCACAAGCCCGTACAAGCATGTGGGCATGCTTTTCAAGCGGGAATCAATGTCCGGCGTAGCTCGAACGATTGCTCAGAAGATCTGAGCTGGCCAGCCAAAATTTCTCTCGTAGCGCAGGCCGTTGGAGAGGTCATCAAAATATTTGAAGAGCTCGGAGAGGCGACGCTGGATCTTCTCAATGGCCTCTGAAAAGCGAAAGGTCTCTTGAGTGTTGTTTCTATAGGCCAACCCCCAAGCGAAGCCGGACATCCTGGGCTGCATGCCTTCCACCACGTCCTCAATGACTGCCGCGTATTTCTCCAGCGTCTTGGGGCTCAGCAACTGGGAGGCACCGCCATATAAAATGGCAAAAGCCTGACCGCTGGCCAGCCCGACCGTTTGGGACCCGCTTCCCAGAAAGGCTGACAGAAGCTGGACGGATCTCAGGTCGCGGAAGGGCTTTTTTCCGGCAAGGTAGGTAGGTATCTATGTATATGCATGTTAAAAATCACCGGGGGGGCCGGGGCCCCCCCCATGATGGTAAAAGCGAGGATCCGAATAGCGGTGCAATTTAATCTCTGTAAAACACCTAAAAGTAGCGGGGTGGTTGGGGGGACAGTCACACACACAGACACACAGACACACACACACACACACCACGCACACAGACACACAGACACACAGACACACACACACACACACACACACACACACACACACACACACACACACACACACACACCACGCACAACAGGCTCCAGCCAAGCGGAAGAAAGATTGCATCACTCAAGCGAATCGGCCATAGAGGTTTGTGTTCCTTGCTCCTCACAGCTTCTCTAAGGCCACAATCTCTCCCCCCAACCACTCCTCTCACCCCCTTCCCCTGACCTCTAGTTTAGTTTGCATCACCCCACCCCACCACCCCACCCCACCGCATCACCCCATTACCCCCAAACCCGACCCCCCCACCACCACGGGCGGGTCCGTAGCTGCAGGGCCAACTGCCATGGCAGGTGTCTGCGTCGCGGTCCATCGCCTCCGGGGACAGCAAATGCCCCGCCCGCAGCTGCTGGTAGCTCAGCAATCCATCCAGACCGCCTTGGTCTAAGGAAACGCAAAGGGAACTCACGAGCTCCTCATTGAACCAAGAAAAAACACAGGAATTATCTACGTCTTAGTTCAGGGGCTGTCAAGGGAACCCAGGTCTGCTGATGCTCTGTGCCAATTCAAAACGAGGACAAACCACGCAGCTCTCACTGCTTGTACACGAAAGTTTGCCCGTTCGAAGTGCAAAGCAAATGCAAACAAAAGAACGGGCGAGCTGACAACCCCCCCGCAGAGGCTCGACGAAAGATTGCCGGAAGTAGGCTGCCACGTTTACCATGTTGCTTCAACACCCCGCTTTGCCACGAGAGCTCGCTTCCAAGACCCTAGGAGCAGCCCCGCAAAACCCAAGTGAAAACACTCAGCGTGTTGAGGCTTCCTTTTGTTTTTCCTGCTTTTGAAGGAAATTATTCACAGCATAAGCCGCAAAGTATTAGACGCGAAAAGTTGAACCTCATTTCTGGACAACCATGGAGTGAAAGGCGTTGACATAATGTGGTGCAGTGTAACCTGAAATTAAGCCGTGTCAAGTCAAACCTTTCGCGTCTCATTCAGCAAACAAATAGGATCAAACGAGGGTTGAGTTCACGCTTGGAGAGCTGAACGCAATAAACATACATTAAGCACTAACCCCTGTTCAGCTGCATTTATCGGGTTTTCCGTGGACGGTCATCTGGCCGCTCCGAACAACTCTTCGCTGTGCCCCCGATGGTCATATTGATTGTACATGCCTCACCTTTCCGCCCATTCACTGTAGCGGCCCCGCTAGCCTGGGTTGTTCTTCCCCCCCAAGCAAAACTGGGTCGTTGAACAAGGGTACCCTTTTTTCTGTAGGCTATTTTAGTAGGGAAACCCTCCCCCAAGTTGGTAAAAGGGCACTACTGGGGGACCTAGTCTATATAACCTTTTACACATTGATGGAAGAACCATTTGCTTCCAAAAGGTTTAAGGGGGAATGCCCCTCTCGCCGCGTCATTCGGTTGGGTCACTGAAGTAGGTCAGTGCTAACCATGGTTGTTCGCAAGTGGGGAAGTGGGATTCGTCTTCCTAACCCATTGCTATAAGTTGCTTAGTGGGTTATAACTTATAAGAAACTAAGTAGGATGAACACCCCGAGGCGTCAAAGGGTTAACGCTGAAGTCGGGCTGTCTCATCAGGGATTCTTGCTTCATATTCAATTCCCCCCAGAAGATTCCCCCCAAACAGGTTCCAATGTTCATGGGCATTCAGACATGTCGGCCGGGTTTCTCGGCCGAATCTGTTGGCAACTTGACTCAGCCCCCCTGTCAAGAAATCTTTTATGTTTTTTGCCATAGACCAACATGCTAAATTGAGAGATGGTAAACATGCAACATGCGACAGCCAAAAAGCACTGGGCAAAAAAGAAGTCGCACAACATACACCAGCATTTGTGGGATAACTCCGAAAACCAAACGGAAGGTGTCCAAGAAAAGTGAGCTGGGTCGATCCTTCTCCCCGGCTCTTCGAGGTGCTGTGGGGTGTGCTGCAGACCTCGGCCACCTCCGAGTCGAAGGCGTCCTCGGCGCGGAGAGCCCTGGCGTGCCTAGGTCCTGTAGAGAGCTTAGAAGAAGGGTACCAACTTTTGCCTGTAGGCTATTTCGGCTATTTCTGGACGCGTCGTGTTGGTCAGGACCCTGCTTTTTTTTGGGAGGGTCAAAGCCGTGTCCGCAGGGCACAGAGTGGGGTCAAATTGGGGTCAAAGCCACGCTGCATGGCAAGGGCAGGGGCGCATGGGCCACGCAGGGCACAGAGTGGACACCGCTTGAAGGCGATTCTCAACAAAAGGACAAAGAGTGGTGGTAAGCCTGGGCGTGATCTTCGTGGAAGCGGAAAGCAAACAAGGCTGCAAGCAATGAGCACACGAAGCACAACGCCCAGGAGACACCAGAGAAGAAGGGATTGCGGCTGGGAGTGGAAGCCGAGGTCACCCGCCAGGTGAGGTCGCGCAGCCTGCAGAGCGACAAAAAACACAAGCCGAAAGCTTCGCCCAAGCCGGCATGTAAGCCAGCCACCAAGTGGGGCCGGCACGGCGATCGTACGTGCGGACACATGTACAGCCTTGGTGAGCACAGAGGTAGGAGAATGCTTTTCATATGTTCTCATTGGTGGCAACGAGGTCCACGAGGAAACAGGTTGTGTTGGTTCGGCCGGCACGGCGATCGTACGCGCGGACACATGCACAGCCTTGGTGAGCACAGAGCCAGGAGAATGCTTTTCATATGCTCTCATTGGTGGCAACGAGGTCCACGAGGAAACAGGTTGTGTCGGTTCTGCAAACCTGTGGGGGCAGGTTGTGGAAAAAACTGCAATTGTTCATGAAGGCAAAATTAAACGCGTTAGGCGGCAACTGCAGCGCCCGCGCAAGAGGTGAAACCGCGAAAGCAGCAGCTTCGACAAGAGTCGAGCCAGGGCGGGGGGAGTCGTTCTTTTACTTTGCGCTCAACGTGAACGTAACCAATCCCCCCCCCCCCCCCCAAAACCCCTCCCCCCCGAAACTTGGCGATTCAGGTTGAAAACACGTTTCGTGTAGAGGGTCCTCACCAACACGATACCTTTTAGTACGCGCCGGGAACATACCAACCCGCGCGTGTTTTTGCGTGTGTTCGGTTCTTGTGCTTGAATTTTCAGGCAGTTTGACAAACGTGCATCTTTGTGGGTCTGTGAACATCCCGGCAACTAACTCATCTCAGAGTAAAGCCGCGCATTTTTTCTAGTCAGGACACATGGCAGTGAAACGATGTCTAAACTACAAAAGCCGGGGCACCGGCTGGAGACATGTCCTATCCCAGTGGAACTTGAAATCCGCCGCCTTCGTGGACTGGGTTGTTTGTTGTTTCGCTTGAGCGGGTGCACTTGAGCGGGTGTTCTTACCATTTGAGCGGGTGCACTTCAGCAGGTGTTCTTACCATTTGGCATGCGTGTGTGCAGTGCTGAGCGGGTGCACCTCAGCGGGTGTTTTTACTACTTGGCATGCGTGTGTGCAGCGCAAGGCGGGTGCACTTCAGCAGGCCTTCTTACCATGTGGCATGCGTGTGCGCAGTGCCGAGCGGGTGCACTTCAGCGGGTGTTCTTACCATTCGGCACGCATGTGTGCAGCGCTGAGCGGGTGCACTTCAGCAGGTGTTCTTACCATTTGGCACGCGTGTGCGCAGTGACCAGCGGGCGCACTTTAGCGGGTGTTCTTACCATATGGCATGCGTGTGCGCAGAGCCGAGCGGGTGCACTTCAGCGGGTGTGCTTGCCAATTGGCATGCGTGTGTGCAGTGCCGAGCGGGTGCGCTTGAGCGGGTGTTCTTACCATTTGGCGTGCGTGTGTGTGCAGCGCTGAGCGGGTGCTCTTGAGAGGGTGGTCTTACCATGTTGGCGGGGGTAAAAACCGCTTCGACTTGCGGGTGGGTAAATACCCAGTACCTTTTAGTAGGGGAACCCTCCCCCAAAAAAGGGTAAAAGGGCACTACTGGGGGACCTAGGTGCCAAAGGTGGGTTTTGTTTGAGCACTGAAAACCAACCTTCTCCCGACGCGCTTCCCAGCCCGTGCACGCCGTGTTCGGAAGCAGTGCAGCGGAGCGTTCCTGTCGGCCAGCGCGGTGGCTGGCAAACTAAATCGGATGAGCGAGGTCCGCAGCGGTCCGAATGGGCCGTCGTCGTTTTGCGGAACGAAGACACCGCGAGAAGACCAATCCAGGTCATGGCAAGGAAAGCCGAACAGACCAAAAGAGCAGGAGAGTTGGCGAACAACCCGTTGCCCAATTCACATCAAGTGAGTGACGGTCGGACGTGCAAAAGGGGCTTCAATGGGCAAAACGAAATCCTCAGAACAAGCTAAATGTCCGCAAAACTGTGTCAGCTTCGCCGTCGGACCGGAGCAGCCATTCTGTAAAGGTCATCGCAAACTCGAAAGGCAAGGAAAAAGTAAAACTTCCTGAAGTAAAGACACTATTTACTGTTGGCAAGTTTACTTTGTTTACATTACCTGGGAAAGTGAAACAGAAAAACTGCCTGAAGTAAAGGAACACTATACTTTTGGCACTTTTTCTTTTTCATGGGTGCGACAGTTTACTTTGCACTTTGCTTTTAGTTCTACCAAAGGAACAAACCTAGTTGTTGCTTCTGTTTTTTGGAGGGAGGGAGAACAATACACATATATACATACATGTATATATATATATGTGTATATATATATATATATATATATATCAAGCTAGCCTTTACACAACTAGCTTCACTTAAGTATACTGTGGTTGAAAAAGCATATTGAACTCCTTCTTTGGCGAGTTTCCTTTTGGTATCGTCTCTTTGCAATGCCATCCAAAAGGAGTGGGCCTAATATTGGATACACATATTCATCTACAAGCATTCTTGCATTATACGCAACATGCCCCTCAGGCACCGAGTGACATCCATAAGTCCGGTGTTCACGCCGTGGCGAACCACCCCGACGATATTCCTGGCATAGACCTCAGACGCGGAGAGGTCCAGGGTGGTCCGTTTCAGAGAAGTACCCACCAAAAGGAATCTCACGATTTGGCCAAGGTGATGCTTAAACCACCAAAAGGGAAAACACAAGGCACCCTGGCCCATCTCAAAAGCAATGCTCAGACTTTCATGAGCTTGTGGAGGGAAGCGGGCATTGTCGCACATGTGCAAGGCCAATCTAACCAATGCTTTCTTTCCAGATGCCGGCATCTATCCCTTCGGCCTAATGAATGAATCCTAGAACTTGAACATCTCAGATGAGCGTGCAACACCCATTGACTCGTTCTACTAACATTCTCAAGGGTTTCATATAGGCCTTACCCCAATTGAACCAGCTAACCGAAACACCTAGAATCAACTTGCAGGTGCTCAATCGGGAATGTGGGAATGAACCTGGGGATTCTCTCCAGGAAACCATAGGAACCGGATGGTTTATCTCGGGATCATTCCGTTTTTAATTCCACCAGCGAGCAACAACTGCCCCTTTTGGCTGGTTTGGGCCCTAGCTGGACGAGACCCGTCCGGACTGTTGGAAAGCGGGCTTGCGTGCAAAGGGAAATCGGCCAGGGCGCTTCAGGTTTGAGGCGTTTGGTTCGATGGAACCGGAATTCCACTGTGGGGATACCCTATCTTTGACCCAGATGTAGATCTCTGCAGACTTGGTTCAATGAAATTAGGGGAATCCGTTTTTTTGGTGTTAGTTTGGCCAAAGGCTGGAGCTTGACAGTTGATCTCATCGGGATGACTTAAGCAGAGAAATACTTGAAACACAAAGGTCACACAAGTGAGCATGGATAACTTTGAGCTCCGATAGGCATCTGAAGTCCTTGATGTGGCGATACTCCAAAAAACACAGCGCTTTAGAATGGACGCTTGCTATATACACATTGCTCTTCACGGTTCTGACGTGTGATTGAACAGCTAGTGCTTGCTGCACCCAATTGAATGGGGATTGACTCATTGCAAACAACAGGACAGTAAAAATAGCCGTAAAAATACGCTCTGGGGTCCCAAGATGTAACAAAATATCAGAAAGCGACAGTGTCGAATCGGCGGCTTTGGACAGTCTGAGGATGGCGTTTCAGCTTCGTGCTCGTACCTATCTGCCCTTGAACCCTTGTGCATGGCGGCAATCTTGGAAGTTTGCAACTAAACTTCCCGTAACAAAACGCATCTCCATGTTGGGTGTCTGTTAGATGGGTGGTTTTTGGAAATGTTCCGGGGCTGGTTTCCCATTTGCCCTCCGACAAGAGCCATGGGTTCAAATCAAACCAACGCCACGCCACCAATTGAGGGTCACCTGAGATATCCTGAGAGGAGCCTTGTGCACTCGACCTACCAAGAACCGCTGCAGGTCCCCAGATCTGATGCCCTGTTCTCAAAAAAGGACGTCATTGGAATCCAGCCCATAAAAACGAAAAGGGCGGAACCAGTTGAACAGCTGGGAACACGTGGTTCTATCCCGTCCCCTAAGCAAAACCACCCCTAAACAAGGCTACCCCACTTTCCACCTCCAATATCCCACTTGTTTCTTTTCTTTGATCCTCTCATCTTCCCGGTCCGAAGCCAAGGCGCATGGCGGTAGTAGGAGGGCAGCAGCGCCCTCAGCACCAGGCGCCCCTGCATCGAGGAGCCCAGATCTCCGTCGAGGCCCAAGATCTTGTCCTTGCAATGGTGCTCGAAGACCCGGCGGAAGCTGCCCACGTGGACTACCTGCCGGGTTCTGGGGTTCTGGGGTTCTGACTGCTCGCAGCTTGGCCAGGTCCTAGAGAGGTTAGAATAAGGGTACCAACTTTTTTCTGTAGTCTATTCTAGCAGGGGAGCCCTACCCCCAAATCTAGCAGGGGAGCCCTACCCCCAAATAAAGTTGGTAAAAGGGCACTACTGGGGGACCTAGTTGGGTTCTGGTGCCTATTTCACCAGGCTCTGCGTGTGGCTGCAAAACTTAGTCTGGATCCTGAATCGCGGGAAGGTGAGATAGCTGTTCGGACCAAAGCACCATCTAAATCTTTGCTGGGTTGCCCTAAAAACCACCTGCCAGGAATCTAACCAATCTAAATTTTGCATGTAGTAAACAAAAACATATACAAAATCCACATCTACGAAAAGTCTGAGCTTGACCCAAAAAGCTTTCGGCAGCGGTTCCCAGCTTTCGGTTGGATTCCCTGGGTTTCCTTGTGTTCCCGTAGGTCCCACGACTTTTTTCTGAAGGTTCCATTCGATTCCCTGGTTGGCTCGGCTCGAATCCTCTCAAACAATTACTCGAGCAGAGACGTGCGACGACTCAAATGATCCCAGAGCCATTTAGCTGTATACGTACGTCAGGACATTTATCAGGAAAACCACCTTCAGGCAAAAAGGACGATGGGTGTTTACCTACTATAGTGATGGTAATTGCGGGAAATTGAGGTCTACTGGCTTTGCTATACATTCGCCAAGCGAAGGATCCCACCATGAATCAACCAGGGGTCGTTGATTCGTTGATCCTTCCCACTATTTCCCTTGCAACACGGCTTCACCTCAGACAGTTTCGAGCTGCTGCAGCCTTCTGCATGATTTGGTCGTGGATCCATCAATTCGCGGAAGCAACCAGCAATGCGAAGGGGTGGTGCATAGACCAACTTGTGACGAACGAACCTGAAATACGGAGGCATTTGGAAGCCAGCTTCATTCCAAACTCAGCTACATGGCGCCCTCAATGAACACGACCATGCATTGACCAAACCATGCTAAAACAGGTAGGTCAGGGAAACGGCCAGAGGGCCAAAGGGTGAAACATAGAAATCTGATGTGGAAAAAGACTGCGGTGAGTGAAACATAAACAAATCATCTGTCCCTGATGGAAGAACCAAACTACTGCGCATGGAGTGTCTTGCAAAGAGTGGCACGCAAAAAAAGGCAAGCTGGTCGCTTCCAAAGATAGGCTGAATTGCTGGTTGAACAAGCGCACACATGGAAGATACATGGCAAAGTCATGTTTTTTTTTTTTTTTTTTTTTTTTAAACTTTGCCAGCGCGAACACCACGTGATCCCTGCATCATCTGCTGCATTCATGTGATTTGCACTCTGCTCTTGTATGCAGCCAAGGTGCGCGTCCGAAAAAAGACTGGATGTTGCGGACGTAAGGGTTCTCCCACATGATGCCGCTCTTGTCGAAACCTCAGCAGGAAATGTTATAGTTGCCATTTGCCTCCTCTGGGTTGGGCTTGGACAAGCAAGACATCCAACAAGTTGAGCTTGGCATGTTCACTTTCTATTATCTGCTGGTTCCTTGCCCAGTGGCAATGGGGGCCTTTTCGTGACGCTCATTGTCTGTGTATGGTTATTCCAAGCACACTAACCAAAGCATGGTCCGTGCGAAGATCATGCAGATGCATTCAATCCAGAATCTGCTTTGTTGGAACAAACATTGCAGTTTCGGTTGAACGCTTTGACATTGACGCGCACACACACAAACGGAGGCAACATGTCAACTTCTCGGCTATCCCTCTTTCACTGATGGTCACTTAGCCAACCGGTCCTTTCCGCTGGCACCGTAGACGTAGCTACTACCGTCGTGACTTCACCCAGCCCAACAAAAACTGACAGTGCTGTGCGCTGATGTATACTTACTCCATATCCATCCATACATCCATACATCCATCCATCCATCCATCCATCCAGCCATCCATCCATCCAACCATCCAACCATCCAACCATCCAACCATCCAACCATCCAACCATCCAACCATCCAACCGTCCAACCGTCCAGCCGTCCAATCGTCCAACCGTCCAACCGTCCAACCGTCCAACCAGCCAACCAGCCAACCAGCCATCCAGCCATCCAGCCGTCCAGGTAAGGAATCCAGGCATCCTGACAATCCATCCATCCATCCATCCCAAAAGGACAGCCACCATTTTCGGGGTCCCCCAATTTTGACACGTACCCAAAAGCACATGTCCGTGCCCATATATCCTGTTTTCTCTGGGGTGTACTAGTGAGCAATCCCAGCGCTCGCCCCCGCCTATGCCGTCGAACATCAGCGGCAGCTGAAGAAAGGTGTTGCAGAGCTCGGAGGGCTGCAGCCACCAGGGCAGGACATCGCCGGTTCTCTCGCACCTCAAGCTCCACATACCGAACACGCCTCTCGTTAGACAACACGAATAAACCAGCAAGAGAGTTCGGCTCAAACATTGTGACCGTCTGTCTCTTCCTATGGTTGCGCACTCCAGGTCAAGTGCTTCTTTTGCCGGCCAGAATGACATGGTCCCCGCCAGGGGCGCCATGGGAAGTGGTGACATATTGATTGAACGCACATGTTGCATTGCTTGCAAGACCTGGAATAAAGGATTTCCAAGTAGAAGGCTTCTATGGTTAGTTTGGGAAGGCCAACGCAAGTGTCCCACGTCCTCTTGGGAATAACAGTATTCTTGTCCGAGGCTCAGGTGAATGTCGGTTTTGTTTTGTTGATTCGCTGTCTCACCCCCTTGTTCGACGGTTGCTGAATCGGAGCCTCACTTTCGACCAACCTCCTGCTTGAATTTGTGTTGAAAGCAGTTGTTGTGGAAGACTTCTCCCTGTGCAGTTGTGCTTATAATGTGCGGAACAGTACTTGCTGCACAGGAAAGGTGCCCCTCCTGACCAGACATGCAATAAACATAGGCAGCGCAAGCAGATGCCTATCACATAGTCACATAGCAGTAGGCGCTTCAGTTCCGATCTGCTTCATAGGGCTTAGCGTAGCCATAGATCTAGCGAGCTCACCTGGTAAAACAAGCTGAAGTTAAGTCAGTTGCTCACAGGGACCCTCCGCTCCTGAAACAAATACACCTTCTCCCCCGCCCCAACTGGCCGCCAGCATAAGGTTCTTATGGGCCAGACTCAAAGATCATAGTGTTGGTGAGCGGCCAAAGCTGAGGTAGCTCTGATAAACCCCCTGCACAGGGGGGCCTTGACAAATGAGTTATATCCCAAGTGCTGCAGCCGTCGGCCAGCCACTGGGTTAGTCGAGTTTGACGGAACCCGCACACCCGAGAAAAGGACAAAAGGGCAGCACCGGGTCTGAACAAACAGCCAACACCGCCAAAACAAAGAATACAAACACCACCAACACAAGCAAGACCATCAAACCATAAATAACAATACACCACAAACAACCCACAACCAGCACAATAACACTAGTGACTGACACACGCACAGGTGAATGGATGGTGGGGAAGACTGGACAATGATGTCCATGCCTGGGTTCAAACCTTAGCGAACAAGGCGGGGAGCAACACACAAGACCAACCAGGGTCGGGTCAATGCTGGGACATGGGAACTCCATCTACAGTATATGACCAAACAACAAAACCGACTGAACAAAAACCGACCAAAAAAACAACCAACGACCAAACAAACAAAACCGATCATGCGCTGGCCAAACAAAACCGACACCAAACAAACCATAACCTTCCACACCGGATGATGGCCAGGCCGAGCTGCCAGCAGCTCTTGCCTCGAAAGGCAATCTCCTGGAAACGTTTCGGCCAGGGGAAGGACGTGGAGTCCTCGCCTGGATTGGAGTCAGCGCGTTACGTGTTTTTGGTCTCCGAAGCCCCCACGCCAAGGAATTCCTATATATATATATACACATATATTATACGTACATATGCAATACATGTACATATACGTAGTATACATCACATGCATAGCCATGAACATATATACATGATGCTCGAAGACGGATGAGAAGCAACAAACGTAATCGTCTGATTCATTACTCTTCGCGCCATCTCCGAAGGAAACAAACCAAACCTGGCATGTGACATGGCGCCTCTGGGAGGGCAAGGTGACTTTCCTCTTGTGTCCCGAGGGCTGGGATGCTAGCAAAAAAGGTCTCAGAAAAGGCGTAACAAAAGAAACCAAGCAGGGGTTGGTGGCATTCCGCCTTCAAATTGCAATGTGCTGGTGGCTTTCATTTGAACAAAACGATGGCTGTTGGAGGTTCCCACACCCCCGATCCGGCGAACGCTTTCCCGCGACAGTAAACGAGCGGTGGGCACAGCCATCGCGAAGCCGGGGAAAAGACGACTCCCCGAAGGGGTTCCGCGAAATGGCCACGAGTTACTTGGCTCACTTCTGGGGTGTTCCAGAAAAACAAGCTTCTGTTTCATATATCACGTGTGAAACAGACACAAACTAGCCTGCCCTAAACCAAACAAAAATAAATAAATAAAAATGGAGGAGACCCCAACACAATCAAACCTCATTGTGCACCCCAGACTATCAAAGGAGACCCCAGATCGGTGTTCCGCGAACCCACTCGGGACACGGGCGAATCTGAGTTCACGCTGGTTGGCCGTGCGCGGGTACCCCTTCTTCCCTGTCTGAACAACGCAACCTTCGATAAAAGAGCCGCGGCTAAAGTAAACACAAAACACTCGCAGTGACAGAGGGGGGAACGCGCACAGAAATGGTTTCCCTTCAAAGCTACCCAAAAAGGGGGTACCAACTCCAAAAAAAGGGCACCACACCCGTATTAGAATCGACCACTGAGTTCAACCCTTGCGGCCTTGGCATCGCACTGACTCCCCGGGGTTGCAGTGACACTGCGCAGGGCCCCGCTGCGGCAACGCCTTCTGAGCGGAGGCCACCTGGCCACAGCCTGAGGCCGAGGGGAAACAAAAATCGGGGGGATCTATTCATACTGTGCATGGACGAAATCCTGCACCAACTGGAAACCATGGGAAACCATTGTTGGTTGGCATTTTACAGGGGAATCATCAGAAACCAGCATTTCTTAGGTGGTGCAGGATTTCGTCCATCCACAGTAGGAAAGCTTTGGACCTCAAACTCAACCCGCACGCAATCCCCAACAGCAACCAGCAAAACGGTAACGGTTGGTCCAAAACAGCGTGCAATCCCCAACGGCAACCCTCGGAACCCCACCGGCACCCAGCCCGCAGCCGCTCCGAACCACTCCGGAGCCAAATGGAGTGGCTTTCAGCTGTTGGGGAAAACGCCTGTGTGAGGTCTCAAGACTCTTAGGCTAGAACGGTCTCCCTGATGAGAGCCAGGCCGCCTTGATTTCCAGTTCTGAGGTTGTTTGGGTCACTTAAAGTGACCATTTGAGGTTCTCAGAACTTCTTTTGGGGGTCAAGGAGAGGCAATCCGCTAGGAAGGTCTTCACAACCCCTGTAAGAAGGTTCTACGACTTTCCTGGAAGGGCCTGAGGTTGTCGCGGTCCAAAGCCTTACAATGGAGATCCAAAACCCCAATGGAGGGTGCGGCTCATGTTGGGATGTGGGTGTATGTGTGTGTGTGTGTGCTTTCGAGGGCACCCACTTCTCCCCTTGATGTAAAGGGAACGCAAGGGCAAATCCACAATTTTGGACTTTCAGTCACGGAATCAACACCCCACGGTGTCCACCCCTGGGAAAACCACAATACAAGGATCAACTTCCTTTGTTGATTTGTAGGGTATCCCGGTTGTTCACTCAATCTTGACTTGGGAGTGGTTGGTTGCATGTACCTCCATCTTCAACCTGGGCTGTTGGGTCAGCCGCTTCAATCCTGGTGCTGAGACTTTGATTCAGGATTTGCGTTGTTTAAAGTTTATCCTTAGTCTTGTGGCTGGTGGTAGTTTAGGGGTCGGGGGAATCAACTGCCTAATCATCCACCAGGATGGAGTTGAAGTTGAGGCCCTAAGCTTTGGCCGATGTTTGTCCTTCCAGAAGGAGTGCTTGAAGGGGCAGGATACTTCATCTTGCAACCCGAGTGGGCTATACCCACCGAGTGAAAGAGTAGCGATCCCCAGCACAGGGCTGGCATTCAAAGGGGATACTCGGCTTGCATCAGAAACCAATCAGCCTCTGGTCTGAAAGCACCTGTGCATCTACTGATTGCTTTGGCAAATTCAAATAGCCAAACTCTGTGAGGCCGCTTGCGCTGGAAGTGTTCTTGGCAAACCAGGCCTCCAACTTGAATCTAAAGCGCGGTGGGGGCAAACTATAAGGACATGTAGGAATCCAAACAAACTAGCATGTGATGCACAAGTCCTGTCAACAAACTGTATCTTTGCTGGGTTCATCTGGATGAAATCTGCATGCAAAGCTCACTCCACTATGTCACAATGTGCAAAAGTCCGGCCGCACAGTTGTTCATGCGTGAGTTGGCGCTGGACCTTCCTTTTTTTTTGCGTGGAAAAGTGTGCGCGGGCTGTTGTCAAAAGTGGGTGCGAAAGGAAACCCAAAGCAACAAATCCAAAGGGCACCCAAAGGAAGTGAACCCAGGAAACAAACACGAAAGCAAGAGACAACCTACAGCAAACAGAAAGAAACCACAAGAAACCCGCAGAAAAACAAAGGGGAAATGAATCACATGATCCTTTTTCTGGATTGTTTATTCCTGTGGTTCTCCCCCTGCCGCTGCCAAGAGCTTAGTTTGCTAGGAAAAACGAAGGACCTCGAGGGCAAAAGGTTAGCGAAATCTGACCAGGGACATCACCCACTTGGGTTTGTTTCAAATGGGAACCCCCAAACTGATGGTGTTCCTTTTGGTTTAACCCTTCAAAGACATCCACTCGTCTCCTGAGTGGATTGGTCAACCAAAATCCAAAAAATGAATTTACAACCAACATGGTCTTGCCAAACAAATTAAATAAAGTCCAGGAACTCAGGACGTGAGTCCAAAAAGGCCTAAGCCACCCCTTCGGCATCTTGCGACTCGCGGCTCGCCAAGCGCACCCAGTCGAGGAGTGCCTCCTGGTGCCAGTTGAACTTGTGAGGCATGCCGGCCAGGCAGGCCTCTCGCGCTCCAAAACCTCCATCTCTGGTTGCGGTTCTGGGAGAAATGAGAAAATACGTCTAGTAGCGATAGATTCTCTTTCAAACCAACAGGGGGAAATAACAGATATCCTTAAGCAAATGGAAGGAACATCAGCAGAAGGGCTGATTGGGTGCCCAAATGTTGCTTAGCTGCTTGGTCAAGTGGTCAGAAAATGAGGGCATGGGCCCTTGATCGGTGGCTTGGCGGGTTTGAAGGGGGAGCCAAACAAAAGGGGATTGAAAAGGCTCCGTTTGCCCCATGCGGGTCTGTCTTCTTTGAGGGTGCCCTTTGCAGCTTCGTTTAGAAGGGAAAACCCAAAAGGGCAAACACATTGTTTGGGGGTCCCCCGAGTTTGACACATACCCACGTGCGCCTAGGCGTGACTTTTCCTCTGAGACAAGTTGTGTGGTCCAAAACTCCTGGGTATTCCGGCCCCCCCCCCCCCCGGGCTGACGTCTACCTTCAAAGCCTCGGTTTTCAGGCTGTTGCCTGGAATGTTTCAAACCAACAAAAACACATGTGCTGGTTTAGGCAGGCGTCAACCCAGGCCCCTGGAATGTCATGCTAGGCCCAAAATGGCACAGTGGTTCCTTCTTCCCCTTTCACGGCCCGACCTGGTGTTGTATCGGGAAAGATCCAAAAAATAGCCCAAGAAATACCCATCCTCCTTTGGTTTCCTCGGCAAGATTCAAATTGTCATCACCGAATGGGATGCTACCCTTCCGCCTAAAAATGGTTGGGGTTCATCTCCCTTAAGACAAATGGAGGAACCTCCATTCAAGGCCACGGAGGGGAAGTGGTCCATTTTAAAGATCCTGAACCAAAACTCCAGTGGGGGCACCGGGTGACCTGGCACCTGGTAGATGACCCCTTGCTACCCGTTGGCTCCTCGCATCCTCCTTGCCGTTTGCGTTGGGAACAATTCTCCAATGAGTTGCTGGGTGAAGGGGTGAAACAAAGACAGCACTTAAACAAACAACCTCCGGTTTGGTGCGAAGAGCCATGGCTGATTTGCCACACAAAATTCCACGATGCCTTCAGGGCAAAAAAGCCCTGAGCAATAGGCAACCTGAACTCCGGCGATCCCCCAAGTGATTTCTCCCAGTATGACCTAGCTCCCCTCGCAGCAGTTCTTCAATATTTCGTGACTCGGATGAACTCCTGTGTTGGGACTGTAGAACTCTTCCAAGTGCCACACAGGTACGTATCGAAAGCAGGAGCGCCTTTAAAGAGTCTCCACCTCGTGTGGGAAACATGTTGAACTCTATAAAGAGGCTTCCCATCAATGCACATCGACTGAAGCCACGCCACCGGCACAAGGAACCAGTGACAGGCGGGGGCCCCGCGTCCAGCGTCCCGCCTGTGCCATATCGCCTGGGATGCGGAGGTGGTTGGGGTGAGTAACCCAACTAACCAAAGGGGGTTGCAACTCGACTTTGTTTTTCAGGCGCCCCGTTCATTCCTGGGCCCAGTTTCCCAGCCCGTGTGGGTGTCATCTTTGCCAGATCGAATCCGAACTACCGAAAAAAGCCGAACAAAAACATCAAGCATGGATTGCGAATGGATTTGCCTGTCCCGAGCCTGTTGTGTTGACGCTCTGAGCCAATGTAAAGCCCGTCGGCACACCCCGAGCATCGATGGGCAGGAAAATCATAAAATCCACGAAACACTGCTTGGCGCCACCGCTATGATGCCCAAATCGGGAAAACGACATCCAAAACATAGCAAGGAATGCTTGCACAACCTGACGACAACCACGGGTCTATTGGATGTGTGTCAAAGTAGTGGAAGTTCCAGTGGAAGCCCGACACTGGCTAGTTGTTCCTCTTGAAGTTTCCCTTTAAACTACACCGAGAAAAAAACAAACACACACACACAAACACACAAACGAAAACACACAAACACAAACATACACACACAAACACAAACACAAACACAAACACAAACACAAACACACAAACACACAAACACACAACCACACAACCACTCAACCACACAAACACACACACAAACACACACACAAACACACACACACACACACAAACACACACACACACACACAAACACACACACAACACACAAACAAACACACAAACAAACACACACACACACACACACACACACACACACACACACACACACACACACACACACACACACACACACACACACACACACACACACACACACACACACACACACACACAACACACAAACACACAAACACACAAACACAACACACAAACACACAAACACACAAACACACAAACACACAAACACACAAACACACAAACACACAAACACACAAACACACAAACACACAAACACACAACACACAAACAAACACACAAACACACAAACACACAAACACACAAACACACAAACACACAAACACACAAACACACAAACACACAAACACACAAACACACAAACACACAAACACACAAACACACAAACACACAAACACACAAACACACAAACACACAAACACACAAACACACAGACACACACAAACACAAACACAAACACACACACACACAAACACACACACACACAGACACACACACAGACACACAGACACACAGACACACAGACACACAGACACACAGACACACAGACACACAGACACACAGACACACAGACACACAGACACACAGACACACAGACACACAGACACACAGACACACAGACACACAGACACACAGACACACAGACACACAGACACACAGACACACAGACACACAGACACACAGACACACAGACACACAGACACACAGACACACAGACACACAGACACACAGACACACAGACACACAGACACACAGACACACAGACACACAGACACACAGACACACAGACACACAGACACACAGACACACAGACACACAGACACACAGACACACACACCGCACACCCACACCGCGCCGCCCCGACCGCCATGCGCACGCACGCACGCACGCACACACGCACGCACGCACGCGCGCACGCGCACACGCGCACACGCGCACCGCGCACCCGCGCACGCGCGCGCGCGCGCACCCACACACACACACACACACACACACACTGAGCGACTCTTTCACAAAAACACAGCTTTGGTACAAGGCACTCACGCTAAAGGGCGGCACGCCCTCTTTGAAGAGCTTGCCCGTGCCGTGAAGCTTCCGCTGGCTCAGCAGGAGATCCTGAGTGCGGTCAGACTCTGCCTGGCAAGCCTTTGGTCTGATGCGACAGGTAGGGAATGACCGCTCCGGGTGGGAAGCAACCCGGGATTCCCAAAAAAGGAAACCACAAGGATGTGTTTGGAGGGGGTCATTCCTGATTCCCTGAGCACCAGCAAGACAAACACTATCCCAATGGCCTCAGCCAATGGGTATCTCGGTTAGAAAACCAACCTCCTCCTCCACACATTTGCAAGCGAGATCGAAGCCCCCCCGAAGAGTGACCCCAACCCCACTTATTATACCAACCTCCAAGTACGAAGTTTTCAGGGCAGTTGTCATGATGGGGTCGGCGCAAGAACCTGAGAAGGGCACTCGCCCATATCATCAAATATCTGACGAGGTTCAATTCGCGTCACGTCGGCATCGCGACCTGCAAAGCAAGCAAGTGGCCACACATTGTCGATAGAATGCCCACCTACCAAATAGCAAACTGAAGGGGAGCTTGCTGGCAGACCCTAGTTCTTTTCAGGACACGCCCTCCCCCATTCGAAAGAAACCCTGGTTAGTTCTGTTGTAACGACAAGCCCAGCAAAACTTCAAAAAGCCTCCCCTGAGTGGCAACAACACAAGAACACGAAAGAACTCGCACACCGTGTTTCAAACAAAAACAACAAGAACACAACACGAAGAAAAAAAACAAACTCTAAAGTTTCGAAAAAACAACAACAAATGAAAAAACCGAAAAAAAAGAAAGAAAAAGACCAAAAAGGAAAACAAATAAAACAAGACAACTCTAAAGTCCAGGAACTCAGGGAGTGAGAAACCCTCCCTATCAACGTGGGGGCCAAGGGATCCGAAGGTGCCTTCCGTCTGCCCAGATGGGCAGTGGCGGTTCTTGTACGCCGCGGACGTGATGCCCTCCTGCCGCCGCGCGCCAAAAACATCTATGCCGGAAAGAACCGGCCTAGTCAGTCTCGAACTGAAATGCGTGACAGCTTACCTTCCCTCGAAGGTTCCTCTGAAACCGGATAGGCTTGGGGCTTAGGAGGGTGCATGTCACGTGCAAGGCCGAAGGTTGCCGCATGAAACGGACAACTGCGCTGTCCTGGCCTCCGGCATTGCTTGGCTTGGATTGGGTCAGAAGCACTGCATTCTGCAAGCAAGCGAGCACAGGTTGAAAGATGAGAACTGGCCAGAGGCCCGTCCAAAGGATCGGTTTTTGCTTGGATTCTCCTCAGCAGTCAGCAGCAACTGGGGTCCTGAATGTTGGGCTACACTGGGTCATAGCTGGCTAGCTTACATACTTGTAGTTGCAACATGCGTGTAAAGGTGCGTCAGCTTGAAGTGTGAAGGCGGATGCCTGGTTCCCAGCCCAACGGATTGACCGGACAAGATCGCGCGCTCACTGGCCTCTCATCCCTTCTACATGAGCAGAGCTCCAAACCTCAATTGACTCCTGGTTCTACCAACTTACTATGTTCATGAAACAAAGTAGCAGCACCTAAATGGGCCGCTTGGGCGTCCACCCTGAAACGGCTACAATTTCATCTTTTGCGAGAAATTCGGCCCTCTTTCAGTCCATTGGATCCGTACGCACGGCAACTCATTTCCAGCAACTGCTACCGGCCCCATCAGGTCGTTATCAAAGTCAGCCTCCGGGTTCGAAGCAGTGCAGACTTTGACACATCCCATAACCTCCCTTTCTTTGCAAGATGCAAGGTTGCAACGAAAGCCTTGAGTTTAAAGCAAAGGGGCTATGTGGAGGCTACGCGTCCGAGCTACCTTTGCCAGTGGCTACGCGGAGGTCACTATGCGGCCCCAGGACTAGGCTACGCGGCCACGGCCCTGGCTCCTTCCTAAACCAACAGTTGAACACACTTTTCTGACACCACATGGGCAAGCCAACTATGGCCCCAAGGAACCTGTTTCCTGGCTCCCCCCATGTTTCCTGGCACCCGACGTCCGCCCCACGCTCGTCTTCGCTCCTTGGAGAGCAGCACGAAGCAGCCGAAGGCATGGGACCGGTACCACAGCAGCAGCTGCCGTCGCACCCGGTTCTCGTGGCTCAACGCCTCAAAAAAAAAGACCCCCGCGGCGCTCGCCCGCATTGTTTTTTGCTTTTCTTCGGGGAAGCCAACCCCCAGAAGTTCCGGAAAAACCACAAACTTGTTGGCTGCTGTGGATGATTCTGTATGTTGTTTTTTTCCCCTTATATATATAAATATAATGTTCTCGAAATATGCTTGGCACCACGAAAGGAAACCATGGCTGAAAATCTGGTTTCTTGTGGTATTTGCGGGGGAGTCATGAGAAACCAGGGGTCTTAGGCGAAGGAAACAAACAAAGGCAAGGTTGCAAAAGATTCGGCAAAAGATGGCAAAACGGTGAGTTCAGTCTGGCAATGCTGGTCTTGGCTTTGGCAGCTGAACTTGCTGCCTGTCTTGTTTGGTGTATGGCGCAACATGAGGTTCACCCGCAAACGCTGATCTGAGCCCGTGACTATCACCCAATCTTGGACCTTTTGCGATCTTCTTTTGCAGGCCTCGTGTTCCCTTCGGACGCAAAACATGTCCAGACACTCATTGTCAGGATATCCGTCACTCCTTCCCTTGTGTTTGGCCCCTTTCCGGTTTGGTGTCCTTTTGCGATGCGCGATGAATTATTGACAAGCACACGGGTCACTTTGCATGTACAGCAACATGCCCCGTAGCTGGTTGCTACGAGCCAGAGGTCAACCTCTAGATTTGGTCTCTCAAAGGGGTCATGCCCATCCTGGCGCTTGCTTGCTTTCTGGGATTTCCTTAAAACGTGCCGATTCAAAACCCAACAGGTGGTACCTGAAACCTACCTTGAGCTTTGGCCCTCGTGTCGCGATCAACAGAACCTGGTGAGTCACCGGCAAACAGAAACGCATTTACGGCGCAATGTGGGTATGGGTCAAAATTTAACTACCTGGGGACCGCAGGTTTTGGTCCATGTTTCCATTCACCAGCGTTACGTTTTGGGTACCTAATTTTGACCCAGAGCCACGTTCATTGGTTAAGAGGAGCCATGTGTTCCACTCACACAGGATGCACCGTTTCATTCCTCAGAATGGCCTGTGGCTGCAGACTTGAGTCAACAGAAACATGTTTTTTTTTTGCAAACTTAGGAAGCCTAGAGTCTCTGTTGCTCTCTGTTGCCCAAATGGACCATCGTCTTCCAACGCCCAGCTTCTAGAATTGTTGAAGGGTATCATGGGTATCGTCCGACCTTCAGAGGCCAGTCGATTGGCCACAAAGAGTACCCAAGCTGTTTATTCATCACAAATAAACATCCTACTGTGAATGGACGAAATCCTGCACCACCCAAGACACCATGGGAAACCATTGTTTGTTGGTAATTACAGGCGAATCACTAATCGAGGGTTTCTTAGGTGGTGCGAAATGGATTTCGTCCACCTATGGTTTCCTTTAAGGGAACCCACGGTTCATTCCCAAACCTTGGGTCATTCCCTGCACCAAGTACAATTGGTCTTCCCAAGTCTTTTTAAACGTCCAGGCACTCGGGGAATGAGTGTCTGATAAACACAACAAAAAGAAGCAACCGGGGGTTGGCTCATCCCGTTTGGTTCAAACCATTGACACGGAGACACAGCACACGCACCCATGGTGGGAATTATTTTCAATTTGGACATCATGGGGATTTATGCCAACCATTTTGCAGGCCAGGGTCTTCCAACCTTTTGCGGAACGCCCTTTTGGAGTGGTTGCAAAAATGGGGAACCAAAAAACATGGGGAACCAAAAAACATGGGGAACCAAAAAACATGGGGAACCAGAAAACATGGGGGGCCAAAAGGAAACTCAACTCCGGCCATTTGTCAGGGTCTAAATCCAATGCCTTTTGGAAGGGAACCAAACACGGAGAAACCCAACTCTAGCCATTTGCGAGGCTCCAAGTCCTTGCTATTTGGCACGCCATCAGCCAAGGAGCCGAGAAGGGGCATCCCTTCTGACCGTACTCTGCGGAGGCTTCGGCGGATTTCAGGAAGCCCCGCCAGGTGAGCTGCGGGAAGCAGCCCTCATCCGTGAACCTCAGCGCCCGGGCTCCGGGGAAGGTGGAGATCCCGATCGGCGTCCCTTTGGTGCGCGTGAAATGGAAGAGCAACCCCCAAAAAGGGCTCCCTTAAAAGACAGGCCCGTTTTGCGGGGATCAGCTTCATCTTGATGTTTGAACCCCGGTTCAAGCGCCCCATGTCGAACATACTCCTTGGATTTATTCCACAATCCGCAGGGCCGCGGGGGTTGCGCTTCCTATCACTGGGGTCCCTCCGGAGCAAGGTCAAGAGAATGCCTGCAAAAGCTGACTTTGCAAGGAAGGGAAAACGACTGGCTGGCTCCACAATCCAAAGCAATGGCTTTAGCAACTGGATGTGCATCGCTGTCTTGCACCAAGGGCGTATGGGCGGAACATCCCGGAAATGGCCGGGGAAACGTCTCGGCTGTTCAAGTTGAACCTATCGGCTCTGCAGGTCATCAGCATGGCTCGACGCCGCAGTTCTGGCCTTGGATGGGCTGTCCTTCGGGGTTCAGACGGAACCATTCCAATAAGACACTCTACAACCCAAGGTTCTGTGGAGATTCGGGTCCAGCAATGTCCCCCTTGAGTGCGCCATGAAAGCTGAAGAGGTGACATTGAGAGGGAATGTCATTCAATCTGGCATGCACCCTTTCAATTTCAAGAGAGGCTTTTGAAAGGAAGCCAGAGGGAAACCGACCATTGGCACGGAACCTTCTGACATCTTTCATACAATTTGGGCCGTTTTGTGGATGATGTTGAGAAGGCCAACAGGAGCTTCTCGAAAGTCAATCAGTGGTTGACGGAAGTCTAAATGCGCTTGACAGCATGCGAGCCCCTTTTTTGGCGGGAAATTTGGGTGGGGGTCCATGTTCCCAAACTAACGATGGACTTCCAAACGTCTTGTCAGTCTAGTGCTTTCGTTTGGGCATGCCCGAAGATAGGGCACCCTGAAGCGGTTTCCGTCGGTTTCCTTTTGGGTTTCCCGCAACATCATCCACACGGCGGCCAAGAACAGACTTCTCTAGGGCTACCTTCCATTTCCATTCTGAACCCAGGGATCCGAATCTTTTCAGAAAACCATCCAAAAACCAAGGAAACAGCGATCGGTTTTTGAAAAGAAGGATGGTTGAAAAAGAATGGAAATGGAATCAACCCGCAGAACTTCCAGCAACTTGGTCAGTCGCCCATGAGCTGGGTGTGGAGGTGAAAAACTCAGTTTTGGTTTGGACTGGGCGTGGGTCACATCGGTCGGTGGGTTCAGGATGGTGGAGGTGGCCAATCAAGCCGCGGAACCTCAGGAAGGTGTGCACACCTTTATGGCACTTGTGGACTCTGCCGCCAGGCGAATCCTCGTGCCATCCTGAGCTCAGCTTTTCCACTTTGGATATTGGGGAACAAACCCTGATGCTATACATGTGGTTGTCAAGGACCCCGCAAAAAAAGGTTCAATTTGCGGAGCATTTCCACAGGGTCCCCTCCCCTGACTATCATGGAAACTTGGGCCTATGAGGGTGACATTCAAATTTCGAACCCTCCAACATGTGTGAGGTCTGGAAGGTCAAGAAGCAAGCGTGGATCGAATGGGGTACGGTTAGCCTGGCAGTTCCCATGTGCGAACGATGAGCAACCCCAAAACAAGCATGCACAAAGAAGAGATGACACTCAGCACTAGTATCAAGCAATGTTGATATGGCACAACGCACCAGCCAAGGCTATGCCTGGGAGTCTGCATCCACGCATGTGTTTGGAGTTCGCAGCAGCCAATCCCACCTGTCACACTGGTACCTCATTGCCAGACCTATCAATGATGCAGCCGGATGCGCGTTTGAAGCTTCTGCCCAAGCGGCGACGCAGGGCAGCGCTTGGTATCAACAGAAGGGCAAAGGCCCAAAGCTGCATTGCCCCATTGGACGAGGTGAATTGTGCAAACGACGAGCAAACTCGGCTGCGGACATGATGAACCACATGGGCTCCGTGGAACCACGCACTGCTTCACCACGGACAAGCGCGGCCGCAAGAGACGTTGATGTTGAAGACACAAAACACGGCACAAGAGTGTCGTGGATATTGCTATCACCGTACGCTTCAACTTAAGTTCAAGCGCATAGACCTAGAGCCACGTACCTACCTGACAGGTTCCATGCATCCCGGCTCACTTTCCTCCGATTCGACAACAGCACCCTTGTTGGTAGATTTCAATGCGAACCCCCCCCCCTCCAAGGGAAAGACCACACTGGAAGCCTGGGTGGTTGTACTTGGTTGTTGCCATTCTGCTGATTCGTGTCATGGATGCAAGCAGAGACATGCAGCCCAAGAGAACAATGGATGCAAGGCATGGAGAGCGCACCTCGCCTAAAACCTTTCTGAGACTAAGATGTGTTCTGGGGCAACGGCCAAACTGCATTTTTCCCATCTCCGAAAGACTCATTGAATCTGCAAATCCTTCTTTGGGTCTGGATGGATCTCTTTCCTGAAGGCCCTTTCACTCTGGGCCATAACCTCTCGCGGTAGAATCCCCAGGTCCACAAAACCATCAGCCCGTAGCGCAGTATTTCTGTCCTCCCAAAACAAGGCTGGATTTGGCTGTGGCTCAAAAAACCGGTACCAAAATGGAACCCTGGTAAGTGGAAACATGGACCAAAACCTGCGTAACCCCTCCGGTTTAATTCCGAGCCACACCCATTTGTCTGAATGGATGCCCTCATCAATGGATTCACCCATTAGCATCAGCGGCGAATGAGGGGCCGGGGCGCGCCTATCCTTGAGACAGACTTGCGCAGTGGGTCGTTGATGCTCCTTCTTTTGAAGCATCTGCCTAGGAGCTGCGAAAACCGAACTGCGCATGTCACTCCTGAAACACTCCGCCACAAAAAGGGGACCATCTCACCAGCTGAACTCGCAATTGGACGTTTGTCAGGCACGCGTTCATGACGCAAAACAAGCAGTTTAGGGCTTTAGGATGACATCTCATCTCGAATGCCTTCAGGGCTCTAGGTGCCAATGCCATGCTAGCGAAATGAAATGACAAGAGACGGGCAACCTCTAGGTGCCGTCCCATTGAAATGCTTGCTTTCGCCGCCCTGTTTCTTGCAACAATGCGCGGAGTCGTCAAACACAGCTGGATTTGGTGCCACACTCTGTTTGGACTGCGTAGAAGCCTGCAACAAGGTTGCGGCTGATGAGGGGGAACAGACCTGTTCAAACACCTTCGAGGGTCTGAAAGAAGGAATCCCCCCCCCATTCCGAAACAGGGGTGTCCTCAAACAAAACTCACCAAACACTGAAGAATACTCAAAACTCCCCCAAGAAACACCTAAGAAAAGCTCAACACACCTCACACAGCCAACAACATTTCAAACACTCACATCAAACCGCTCAAACACATTCAACACCTCGACACGTGACCCCGGTCGATCCATGCGATCGATCGAGACCCCGGCCGACAGATCTGGAGGGCCTCCGAAGTGGCTCCGCCCATGGCGGCCTTATGCCCATGGCGGCCACACAGAGCACAACTGAGTTCCCCCTGTCGGTGTTAAAGGGAATCCATCACTGGACATCATTTGGTTAACTAGGGAATGGAATGAACCCGGGTATTCCCTGTGCGACAAGTAGGGAATGGTACACTGGTGTTGGGTTTTTTAAAGGGAATCTACCCTTACAACAATTGCCTGTTTCCCATGGTTCTTCGAAACGCAGTGGAAGGGGGGTGCCGGGAGGAGTAGCTTAAGACTTGTTTTCTTAGTTCCCCCTGTTGGTTTTAAAGGGAATCTACCCTCCCACCAATTAAGATGGAAAATAAGTTCCATGGCAGTCCAGCGTACCAATCAACATGGAGCCTGCCAGAGAGGTCCTGGTTTGGACCACTTTCCTTTTAAAGGGACCCTCTGTCAGGTTCCATGTTAATTGGTGGGAGGGTAGATTCCCTTGAAAACCAACAAGGGGAACAAAAAAAAACAAATCTTAAGCAACTACTCTTCCCGGCACCCCCCATCCACTGCCTTTCGAGCAACCCTTGGGATTCTTGGACATGGGAAACAAGCAGTTGTTGGGGGGGGTGCTGGTCTGCAAGTTCATCGAAGGAACCCAAAAGCCCGGTCCCTCAAAAGGGTATTCTAAAAAAAAAGAAGCGTGGATTCCATGAGGGGAGCAATAAAATAATCAGTTAGCATACCCGGCGAATGTGTACAGCTAGCACACAAATGGGGAAATGGGGAGATATCAACCAAGAAATGAGTGCGCCAGAATTGGGGTCCACGTGCCAAGTGATTGTTACTAGCAGGTGGTGATCACTTGGTGCGACATAGCCGACACATTGGCTGCATCTAACAGGAACAGGCTTGCATTGGCCCGAAATTAATTGGCAAGGAACGCCCAGGGGGGGCGATATGAGGTTTGAGTATGTTCCTCCAAAGCTGTTTTATACTTCAGGGTAGACCAAATACGGAACAAACTCGGAACGTGGTTGTTTAACGTGTACCCCACATGTGGACCAAGGAAAGGAGATCTTCTGAGGTCGCGGTTTGCACATGTTTGAACAAATGTCTTCACCTCGAATCCAGTGTCAATGAGTCAACGTCTGAGTGCTTTGGCTTGGGGTTGAAACGCCTGCGGTTTTGTTTCTTCGCTCGTCCCTTAATCCCCTCGACATGTGTATGGACTCCAAATGACTCCCAGAAGTGGACCACTAAAAATCAGACTCCTGAATAACATTTGGTTTGGGATTTTGCCGGAAAGTAAAAAACATATTCTTAAACGCCACCCTTCACAGCGTTGGCAGACCTCCAAGATAAAATTCCGTGGTCGAAAGACGACCCTTTTTTCCCCAGAAGAAAGCAAGCCAACTGGCCAAATGGAAACACAGGCTTAGAATTCTCAATGATGTGTCATCTTGCGGACCCTCACTGGGTTGGCTTCCTAAGAGCCCATATTTCTCAACGTGCCCTGAAGGAATCCAGAAGCATCCAGTTACTGCAGATGAAGAGAGACCCACAAACCCGGTCGATATTAGCTACATGTGGGGCAAATATAGGGTCGCTGTAGGGGGTTGCATCGTCACCCATGAAGGTTTATTTGATAGGGATCGACACTTCGTGTTTCTGTTGGCTTAACATAATAGTTTGCCCAGCTGGTATGTGCCACCCTGACAGTCTGATTAATGTTTGGGGGGACACA